AGCTGCCTGTGGGGAGAGAGCAGTGTGAACCCGGAGGCATGGCACAGCATGGCGTGACACAGCACGGCATGGCACAGCACGACACAGCATGGCCTGGCATGACACGGGCCAGCATGGTGTGGCATGGCACTGCATGGCATGGCATGATACAGGATGGCACAGCATGGCACATCCCAGGACACTCCCTGCCCCACTAAAGCCTGCTGGCAGCAGAGGGCAGGCAAGCAGGGAGCCAGCCTGCCCCGTCCCGGAGCAAGGAGGTGCCCAGCCCTCAGTCAATGCTTCTGGGAGTAAAACAAGCTGCGTCTGCCGGAGCAGGGACTTGGTCTGTGTGATCAGGACACGGCGTGGCTGTGCCAGGGCAAGACCCTGCACCTCACAGGGCGTCCTGACCCCCCTTACCTTCCCACAGGCTGCTCCGCATCTATCGGCTCCTGTCTTTCCGGAGGCACAGCTGAGCTGGGACAGTCACCTGCCTCGATGGGAAATCTCCGAGCCTGTGGTGCCCACTGGAAGCTCATGTCCAGGCCCTGGATGCGTCTGATCGGAGCAGGTGGGTGAGCCGGGTGAGCACAGGCCCCCCAGAGATGGTCAAACCCCGGGGGGAACACGGGGGGTCCCCAGCCAGCCCTGCAACCTCCGCACCGCCCACCCCAAGAGCCCCCACTCACCAAGAGGATGTTCCAGCCCGTCCCCACCTCACTGCGCACCCGCCACCGGACTGACACCGGTTACATCACAATGGCACCCCCGGGTTTTGAAAGGTGGTTCCGTGTCGCACCTGGGTGCCGTGGGTGCCCTCCAGGCACTGAGATGCTCTCGCGGTCTCTGCGGGATGAACTGAGAGCCGACGGGTACCAACCCCCGCGAGGACATGGAGGCGTTTTTGCTCGTCAACGGCTACCGGCTCGGCAGGACCATCGGGGAGGGGACGTACTCCAAAGTGAAGGAGGCTTTTTCCCAAAGGCACCGGAAGAAAGTGGCCATTAAAATAATCGACAAGAAGGACAGCCCAGAAGGTAAGAGTTGAGCCTGAAAGAGCTCCAGGCTGAGGCACTGTCCCTTCCTGGAGGCTTTTAATTCCCAGCAGAAAACTAGTTTCCCAGACTGACCAGCTGAGAGCAGACGGTAGGGGAGTGTGCAGTGCCAGGGGGTCCAGCAGAACAGCCCAGGCACCATGGCCCGAGGATTAAGATCTGTTTAGGTGGCCGCCCCTGTGACCGCAAGGATGGCAAAGCGCTGGCAGAACCCAGCATCTCCCCTTGATCCCTTGGGAAACGGTGCCAGGCCAGAAGGAACGAGACATCCCAGGAACAACCTTCCCTCCCTCTACTCATCCCCTCTACCGAGTCCCAGAGCGGTGCCCAGAGCCAGCAGCTCAGGGACATCCCCATGAACAAAGCCACCTCCTTTCTCGACAGAGTTTATTCAGAGATTCCTGCCCCGGGAGCTCCAGATCGTCACACACCTGAAACACAGCAACATCATCCGCGTGCACGAGATGCTGGAATCTGCAGAGGGGAAGATCTGCCTCGTGATGGAGCTGGCAGAGGGTGGGGACATCTTTGACTACGTGGTCCACAAAGGTCCCCTGCCCGAGCTGCATGCCAGGGCACTCTTCCACCAGCTGGTCGAGGCCATCCGGTACTGCCACAGCTGCGGGGTGGCCCATCGCGATCTAAAATGTGAGAATGCCCTGCTGCAGGGCAACACCTTGAAGCTGACAGATTTCGGCTTCGCCAAGTGGCTCCCCAAAGGCCGCCAGGAGCTGAGCTGGACCTTCTGCGGCAGCACAGCCTACGCGGCACCCGAGGTGCTGCAGGGCATGCCCCATGACAGCTGCAAAGGGGATATCTGGAGCATGGGCGTCATCCTCTACGCCCTGCTCTGTGCCCGCCTGCCCTTCGACGACACCAACATCCCTAAGATGCTGCACGAGCAGCAGAGAGGTATCTCTGTCCCCGGGCACCTGGGGATCTCCAATAAGTGCCAGAACCTCCTGAAAATGCTCCTGGAACCAGACATGACCCTGAGACCCTCCATCGAGGGGGTCAGCAGACACCCATGGCTGACTAACCCCTGAGAAGGGCTCACCCCGCTCTCCCCAAAGGAAGAGATTGTTTCTAAAACAGTGATAAATGGTCTGTTTCATATTTGCGTATTTTTCTCGGCTCTCTCAAAGCCCTTGGTGGGGGGGAAACTGGGCAGAGACGAGCTCTGAGCAGGCTGGGGCAGTGCAGGTCCACCTCCAAGTTAAGTAAATCTCCCCCGAGGTGGGTGGGAGGAAAGGGAAATGTAAAGCAGCTGACACGCAGACCCCTCCATCCCGCAGGCAACGGAAATAAAACCACCCGACACAGGCAGAGACTCTGTAGAATTCCTTTAATTGCTGTTAACTGCAAGTCTGTAAAAGGTTTGGAGAAAGTCATCGTTACAAAACTACCAGCTGTTAGAATTGTTCCTGGTTTTCACCCCAGCTAGAAAAGGCTCAGGGAGATGCGGAATAGTTCAGAACAGAGAATATTGCACAGACAACCAAATGGTTAATTTGACTAAAGAAAAAAAAAAAAAACAAAAAAGTGACACAGATGAGAGCACTGCACCCTTGGAGCTCTGCTGCAGGCCCAGGGATCCAGCCATGACTCACAAATCCCAAGGGAACAGAGCCACGAGCCAGCCCACCCTGCCACCGGTGTCATCCACCCACAACAGGCTTTCCTGCTACAGGTGGATTGGAGCCCAGGACAGAGTGAGGCTGCAGCACATTTCAGAGGCTCTGCTGGGCCCACTGGACATCAAGTGGGAGGAGAGTTGCTGCTCAGCCTCTGGCCCTTGTGGGGTTTGTGGGACAGACATTCCCTGGCATAAGCGCCCCAAGTCCCCCCTGCCACCGATCCACCTGTGCGTGCAGCTGCATTTGAGAATCCCCCCAAAGGAGGGGGGAAAAAAAAAAAAAAAAAATCAAAGCCACAACCCAAACCCAAAAACCCAACTCCTCCAAGTGCAGGTAGGTTAATCCCATCCAAAACAAGAAGGAAACCCGCAGCTCCAGTGAAGCAGCCCTGGAAGGGGCAGGACAAAGGTGGCATGTGTAAAACCACCGCCCAGAAGGGCAGAGGCACAGCGACAGCTCGGTCTCTGTAGGATAAGGGAGTATTAGCAACATCCACTGAGGAGCATCTCGTGCCATTAGAAGGGAACTGTCCCCAAAAGAGGGGCTGGGGGGCTGCAGGAAGCGTTGCCAGCAGTCACAGGGGGCTTAGGTGAAGGAAGCCAAGCAAGCACAGTGAGGCTGGTGACCCCGGTGGCCGTGGGGCCTGGTGAGGTGGCACACAAGAGGAGTTGGAGGAGTGAGCAGACAGCCTCAGACACTAGGTACTACCCATGCTTGGGCACTCCTGCCTCCCCCCGGGGCTGGGAGAGGAAAGGGCCGAGCCTCGGTGCCAAGGCAGAGGTTAAAGTGGTCAGTGGGCCAGGCTGGGGCTTAGCAAGGGCTGAGCTGGGCACCACAAAGGAGGGGTTCTGCGCCCCAGGGTGACCCCAACCACCACCTGCCCAGAAGGGCTCAAGTGAGAGCAAGCCACAAGCACTTTGCTTGGGAACCTTAACTAGAAGTACACAAAACCCAGCAGAGGAAGACATGGCAGCTGCAAAGGCGAAAGCAGCAGGCCTTGGCTCTCAGAGGAGCTGCTGCTGCTCTTGCAGCAGGAAACAGGAGTTTCCGTTAAAAAAAGCTTCCAAGACGACAAGCCAGGCAGAAGCTCAGGGTTTGGCAGGGAGGTTGGCTCCTTCCAGCATAGCCCAGCTTTGGGCCGATGCCACAAGCCAACTGCCTTTCTTTGCAACAACAGCAGGAGGGGCTCCTCCTGCAGCATCCAGCCCCCTGCCGCTCCCTGCACAAGGGCTTTCTCCAGGGACGGGGTGGCCAGCAGTGTGGAGCAGCGAGTGAGCGGGCACAGCTGGCATCCCAGAGCCTCTGAACTGCAGCACTGCAGATCAAGTGCGCGCACGCAAGCAAACCACCAGCCTGGCAGCACCAAGCGATCCTGCCAGGTGCCTGAGTGCCCAGCTCACCCTGAGGGCCCCTCGCTGGGTCCCACCTGCCCCTGCCCGACGCTTTCGGGCAGTTCTGGCTTGGCCAGTCTCTAGGACCTACTGAGAAGATGGGCTCCCTGGCAGCTAAGTGGATGAGTGAACTCCTGCTTCCTCCTCCTTCGGGATCGCTTGAGTTGCCCACAGGATTTAGCAG